CAGTTAACGCCTTCCAGCATGACACTACTCTGTGAGATACTTACAATCCTATTTCCTCGCCCTAGTTTTGCAGTATAATTGCTCCACACTCCCTTGAATGTATAGTTTTCCTTTTCTTCCTTTAATCATCGCACAGCTTTTTGCAAGGGAAGGTGCAGTGTACTGTATCAACACATGAGCTTTCTCAGGTGACTAGCGCTGTATTAACATTGCAGCCTCGTTGAAGGCTGGCTCGACCCTGAGCTTCATGGCAAATAGAGTGATTGTGGCTGGAAATGGTATTGCATAAGGCTGAAAAATGAGCCCAGACTGCAGGCATGTGTATAACTAACTACAAGAAGCCATGTTCAGAATGGCTCTACCTACTGTTTAATCGCTACACTAGGAAAGTAACTAACTTCTTGTTATTCATTTTTACCAGTGGTCTAAGTAAAAACAGTACAGTCAGAGGAGTTTGCAGCACTTACATTGCAAACATAGGGAGGGGGAAATCTGATTGTAACTGGGATACATGTGGGTGAATAATCGGTCAAAGGGAGGTCACTTTTAGAATAATAGAATCATAGGGTTAGAAGGAACCGCAAGGGTCATCTAGTCTAATCCCCTGCCAAGATGCAGAATTTGTTGTGTCTAAACCATCCAAGGAAGATGACTATCCGGCCTCTTTTTGAAAAACTTCCAGTGAAGGAGCTTCCACGACTTCCCTAGGCAGTTTGTTCCCTTGTCCTACTGTTCTGACAGTTAGGAAGTTTTTCCTGAGATTTAATCTAAATCTGCCGTGCTGTAGTTTGAACCCATTGCCTCTTGTCCTGCCCTCTGTGGCAAGAGAGAACAACTTTTCTCCATATTTTTTATGGCAGCCTTTCAAGTATTAGAAGACAACTATCATGTCCCCTCCTTAATCACCTCTCTTCCAAACTAAACATACCCAGTTCCTTCGGACTTTGCTCATATGGTTTGCATTTCATCCCTTTGATCATCTTTGTCTCTCGCCTCTGGATCCTTTCCAGTTTCTCTACATCCTTTCTATACATTGGTGACCAAAATTGGACACAGTACTCCAGCCGAGGCCTAACCAGCTTGGAGTAGAGCAGTACTATCGCAGCCTGTGAATTGCGTGCATGCATCTCTTAATGCAACCCAAAATTTCATTTCCTTTTTTTGCGACAGCATCACATTGTTGACTCATGTTGAGGTTGTGATCCACCCCAACTTCCAGATCCTTCTCAGCAGTACTGCTGCCACGCCAGTTATCCCCCATTCTGTATTTGTGCTCTTTATCCAGCAACAGCAAACAGTGCTAAAGATGGCAGAAATACTTTGCTGTAGTGATTGGTGCTTCTTGGTTAAGATACGCTCCACTACACAGTTATGTCGACTAAGTTGCCTTACATCGACCTAACTCTGTAAGCGTCTACACTAAAATGTCGCTCCCGCCGATATAACTCACCCACTATACCAACTTAATAAATCCACCTCCACAAGAGGCGTAGAATCAATGTAGATGTAGTTAGATCAGTGTGAGTGACTCTGCGTCGCTTACGTGGACTGTCGCTGCCTTTCAGAAGCTGTCCCACAATGCCCCACACTGACAGTAAAATCAGCGCTAGCACTCCTGGTGAGTGCATGCACCACCAATACAAGGAGCAAAGCATAGACACACACAAGCAATGTAATTACTGCAGCGGCTGTATGCCGGTGTAAGTTGGGTCCATTTAATTTTGTAGTGGAGACATGCCCTCAGTCTATCAACACCAGTGAAATAGTTCAGTTAGATCCCTTCAGGATTTTCAGCATCGCTGATGTGGTAAAGACCTGCATTGTTTGAAAATAGGGTTGTCTCCAAATGTTTGTTAATCTGTCACGGCATATTTGTGGCTGATTGGGTGACCTTAATTGTCCATTTCCAGACTTTTTATTTCTGTTTTATTTTAAAGAGCACCCTGAACTTAGAGATTCCTGGCTTTCTAAAGTTGTTTTGTCGTTGCAGAAGGACTGTTCCTTCTTACACAATTGGTGTACATTTACAGGAGTAACTCCAGCTTAATGAAGGAGTTGGGGGGGGTTGTTTTTTTGCTTCCTTGCTTGTTTGTTTTGCTTAGGACATACAGAAAGTTTCAGTTAGATCCAAAATACAGATTAGAACTCTAGAATTGAATGCTAGTTTTAAATTGTTTACATTTCTCACATAATAAGTGAAATGAGATTTTTTTTAACTTCCTCATCTAAAGAAAAGATTATTATCCAGGTAGATCGTATTAGTGCCTTGTTCTTGTGTTTACAAGTGTTACCTAAGACTTAAATACAATTTTCTGTTGTAGTCCCTATTATAAAGGTTCTTTAAATCAGCTATATTCAATCACACTGGCTTGAAACCTGGTATACTGTGCTCACAAGGTGCTTTTGTTGTTTAATTATTTGCCACAAAATAAAACAACAGCCACAACAACAACAAAAAACATGCGGCAAAAATGACATTTTTACTTATAAAACTGTTGTTTAAGGAGTGGGCATCCACAGCTCAGAGGCTGTTTGCAGAGCTCTGTCTTAAAATGGCTTACTTTAAAACCTGGGATTTTGTAGGCAAGTAAGGCTGTATGTGAATTAGCTTCTTTCGCCACTTAGAAAAGGGGGAAAAAATGTTTGAAATTGGTTAGGGTATTTGTGTTTGAAAACTGGTTGCTGGGCAGTCACAGCAGGCATGCGCCGTTGAAAATGACTTTAAAGTACACAGTTAATTTAATATTCACGTCAATGGAGACATCAGTTAAAGCAGGGGGTCTCAAACTTCATTGCACCGCGACCCACCTTCTGAAAACAATAATGACTACTACATGACCCCAGGAGGGGGGACCGAAGCCTGAGCCTGCCCGAGCCACACTGCCGCAGGCAGAGGGGCCAAAGCCAAAACCCGAGCCCCATCACCCAGGGCTGGAACCCTTGGGCTTCGGCCCCAGGCAGTGGGGCTCCAGCTTTGGCTTCGGCCCTGGGCCCCAGCAAGTCTAATGTCAGCCCTGGTGACCCCCGTGCCTCTGTTTCCCCTCCCATCCCGGGTCTCTGTCTTGCTTGTTTATATTGCAAGCTCCTGGAGGCCGTGGTTTCTTTTACAATGTATCTGTACACCACCGAAAACCAGGAGGCCTTGATCTAGCTTCGGGACCCTGTGTGCTGCTGTCTTGCAAATAATGACAATGGGATGGTCCCACACCCTGGACAGTATCAGTGTAATTTGGGTGGTTCTTTACAGACATGGGCTACAGTGCTATGCATATTGGGGGTGCGCCGAAGGCACATCTTTGTTTTGCTTTGTTTGTAAAGTGAATTTATAGGGTCTGATCCAGTGCTTACTTTGTGCCAGGGCTGAGCCCTGGCACCTGTGGGCCTGGCCGTTCAGAGCCCCGGCCCCTCTGGGCCTGGCCGTTCAGAGCCCCGGCCCCTCTGGGCTTGGGCAGTTCAGAGCCCCGGCACCTCTGGGCTTGCTGCATCAGTTATGAATGTAAAAAAATTGCTTGAGCCCCGACACCTCTTTTATTACAAATTAAGCCCTGGTCTGAGCCAAAGGCCCTTTAAAGCCAATGTGGGTCTTTCTATTAACTTCAATGGGCTTTGGATCAAGCCCTTGGTGCCTAGAAGAGAAACCAGATAAATATCATTAGAAATTGAAGGAGTCTGGTTAACTATAAAAGAAGCATACAAGACAGACAATGGCATTGCATGTTTCCTACATTGGTGCACCAATGTGCTTTAAAGTTGCACTTCTAGATGAGAATATAGTTCAGTTCCCATGGCCTTTTCGTCTTTGATCTCTCTGGTGAAACCTTTCATAGGAATTAAATAGGAATTAATCTTTCACAGAATTAAAAGTGAAAATTGGCTTTACTTTTTAATGTGAGAGTTGACATTTGCTAATCAATTAATAGCAACAAGGCCCTTTTGTAATGTGGAAACAAGAGAATACAGTGAGCATTGTTTTAAACATATTTACTGTAGGGTGACCAGATGTCCCGATTTTATAGGGACAGTCCTGGTTTTTGGGTCTTTTTCTTATATAGGCTCCTATTACCCCCCACTCCCTGTCCCGATTTTTCACATTTGCTGTTTGGTCACCCTAATTTACTGTCCATTCTTGGTAACTTTTCAGAAACATTTTTACTGCATATTTAGTAGCATGAATTCTTGCAATGCAAATGGGACTCTTGTTAATTTGCATACATTATGGTAGCCAATTATGTGAATGTGAGTTAAGGACAACATACTCAATGTAGCTAAATATTGACAAGACAGGTCTTTTGACATGCTGGGTAGACTGAGCCTTCAATTTTAGTAGAAACATTTTTCTTTGTTTTAATATACTTGCTTAAAACAAGGAAATTAAATTGCAAGTAAATATTTTTAGGTAATGTTAAGCCTCTAATGTAAGACTTGAACCTCATAGCATTACATCTTAATTTTCTTGAACTCTGTTCCCAACCAACTCATTATGACTTGAGGATTGCAAAGATCTGTGAATGAGGTGTGATTTCGCATGTCAAGGTCTGTAATGCCTACATCCAGTAGAGGTTAAGAATGGCTTTTCACTTTGAGTGCTGATATTTTTTTGTCTTTGTTTTTGTGGGTTTATGTTAAACCCTTACAGTTATCTGAATACAGATATTTGTAGTTTAACACAGAGGGGAAAAAAGATATTGAAACTGGTATCCTATAATGAAATTTTGATTTGTTTTGTGGTGAGACATAGAAGGCTGGATGTTTTTTGTGATTAATCGCTTTCCATTTTACATACTACTTCTGCCAGTCTGTCTGTCAAAGTGTGTCTCGGGGAAATTTTCTGCACTCAGCATTAACTGGAAATGATGGCCACCAAAATGTGATGTATATATTTATTTGTATGCATGCAGAAACGATGAACAAAGAAGGGGGGGAAAGAATGACAGAAAACACCCACTCAGAGACCCATAATCTTCTGTTCTTTCTCTTTCCACTTGCTTTCTTACGTCCAGCAACCACTTGAAAGGAAAGACAGCCAAAACAGTTCCCAGCATAGCGTCTCTAGCCACCACAGCACGCACACTGCTTCACCCATCCATACCACTCAGGTGCTTCCCGACTACCCTGCCACTGAAGCACCAGGTGTGGAGCAGCCGGACAACTCTGGACAGAAAAAGCCAGATCCATTCAAAATCTGGGCCCAGTCCAGGAGCATGTATGAAAGCCGACGTGAGTATTGAACAGGTGTGGTTGCTAAGGCTACAGCTCTGGCAGCCACTCTTTATGATTTTCATCTATAGGAATTGAATCTCTTAAATTGTTATTGGAAAATATAGGGCTTTCAATTAAATTGATATGTGTACATGAAATTCTGGGAAAAAGCTGCGAAGATCAGCAAATTATGTCTAGTTTATGTTAACAAAGAATCAATTTTGTCTTGGATGAAGAACGAGCTTTTATTGCCTCCGATAAGTGGGTTTAGACCATAACGCTGTTCAAAACCCAGTCAAATATTTTACGTATTGAGGTCCTTCTTTTCATCCCTTTTTTATTTATTTTCAAATCAGGCATTAAAGAGACTTTCAAAGACGTGAAGCAGAGTTAGTTGCCCAGCTGCCCCTGAAAATATCTCCAAGTTCTCATAGCAAGTTAATGCTGCTTGGTTATGTAGCTTAGACAAATTCAGATGACTGTTTTACAAATAACAGGTTTCTCATTCTAACGGCTACTTAAGAAAATTTTATTCAGGTTGAGTTTGAGATTGGTTGGGTACACACAGAGACCTAAAAATCTTAATCAAGAACCAAAACCATCCACAAATGAAAAATACAGAGCATTAAATAGAAGTAAAGAGCAAAGCAATCCACAGAGTTGACATATGCACATCATGGACATGAAAACAGAGACAGGGTAGGTCATCATCAGTGGCAGTGACAGTTTTGGCTGTTGCCTATTATGTCATTCCAATGAAGCTACCAGAAAACATACATGCATCAATTTTGATACACATTTACGTATCTGTTACTATATGTAATTAAGCCTTTGTCTTTTGCCTGTATGGGGCCTTCCAAGGGATCATAACTGGTGGTCTGATTATTGACATAGCTATTTGCATCAGTGCATTTGTGAATAATTCCAATGCCTCAACCTGGTTAGCCGCACAGGTACATGTTGCTCAACCCACTACACACAAACACACACACACACACACCAAATTCCATTAAGATTTCATTATTTTGTTCCCTCCGCTTAACTTGTTTTTGACAAAAACAACGAGGAGTCCTTGTGGCGCCTTAGAGACTAACAAATTTATTTGGGCATAAGCTTTCGTGGGCTAAAACCCACTTCATCAGATGCATGGAGTGGAACATACAGTAGGGAGGTATAAATACACAGCATATGAAAAGATGGGAATTGCCTTACCAAGTGGGGGATCAGTGCAAACGAGCCAGTTCAATGAAGGTGGACATGGGCTATTCTCAACAGTTGACAAGAAGGGATGGAAATCATTTTTGTAGTGCTAATGAGGCCCATGTAAACAAGGTGGCCCATTTCAAAATAAATGTGTTAGTCTCTAAGGTGCCACAAGGACTCCTCGTTGTTTTTGCTGATACAGACTAGCACGGCTACCCCTCTGAAACTTGTTTATGACAAAAACTCTTATTGCTTTTACCGTAGGTCACTTAATTATGCTTAAGACTTATGCCTCCTATGCTAACAAACCTATACCTGCTAGGCCTCAGCCTGATGCCAAGCCTATCTTAATGTTAATATTTTTTTGTATGTTTTCCTACTTGCATTTCAACTATATTAGCATCAGTCACAGCAAATTACACACACACACATACATATGAGTAAGCTTATATTATAACCTTGGTAGGATCAGGTCAGGGGTCACAGGTCAACAGTTATTATAAAAGGGAGCTACAATCAGTGAAAGAAAAATCTGTTTGCCAAAACTCAGGTGAAATGCATTCCCATCTCACTCCTGGTGGGCGGGAATACTGTTGAGCTGTTCTGTCTTTACCAGCATATACTACCCTAACAATACACAAAACCAAATGCATGCAGTAAGTGCATTTATTTTAATTATTAATACATGCACTCGGCTAATAGTTGAGCAGGGTTTGACTCCGCTCCAAGAGTATAAAATTGGTTTCAATTGGTTCCTTCTCTGCAATGAAAATAAACATGTTTGCCTCGTTTTAATCACAATGCCTAAGAGAGAACCTCTAAACATTTCTCAGAGCAATATTTAAAGCATAGTAGGCATACTTTCAGACAATATTATTCTTTTAATTAGGGACAAGAGAGCTTGAAACAGTTTGTGCCAAAGGAGCACATTCTAGTTTTTGTTTTTATTTATGTAAAGGATGATCTTCTTGCACAAAATCTTCATAACATGCAAAATGTAAGTTTTTACGGACAATATAAAAATATACATTACCCCAGAACGTACAGCAGTTGGGTTGGTTTTTCTACCAATTGAATCATTTTTAAATCTTATGGCATGAAAAAAACAAAAACCACAAAAAACAAATCATGAGTGACAGGTTTCTTGGCTGCAGAAATATCTCTCCGGATTGGATGCCTCAGCAATGTGTCTTCGTGCTTTTGTGCTTCTCTGTCTTTCTCTCTTTCCCTTCTAAGGATCTGGCATTGTTTTCCTGGTTCTGCAGGCCTGGTTCTTTCCATGGGCCAGATAGGCCTCTTCTTGGCCCACTTGAACAGTGGGACCCTAGGTGATTGAAATTACCTCAATGAGTATTCAAGAGATCATTAGGAAGGAGGGGTAAGGCGGTTTTCCAATCCTGCAGGGCCACCCTGCCAGAATTGCAGGGGTAGAAGCCACCCTGTAGGGACACTAGTCAGCCTAGCCTGGCTGCATTGGCCCCCCTCTTCTCCCTGCAGCATGGCTGCATTGGGAACTTTGCTGTCATTGTCTTTGACCCCCCCGGCAGCTTTTTAGATCATTTGTCATTAACTGCGGAGCTCATACTAATTAGTCATTAGTATTAGCTCAGCAGCATTAACACCTGCCTCCAGGCTGAAATCTGAGGCCGAGCAGGGTAAGTCCCCTGCCCCTCCCTGTCCACCTGCAAATGGATGCAAGGAATGCTACCCTCATTCATGCACTCATTCCAGCATGGCCGTGGGTATTTCCCAGTTTTGTTCTTCCATCTGTGTAACAGGAGGGGACAACACAAGCCTTTCAGAGGCCAGTCCTCATCTCTCTCCATCGGCTTGTTTCTGAGGTTCCCTCCTTGTTTGTTCTAGAATTCCCTTTTCCCCCTTTCTTCCTTCTGAGAGTCCTTTCTGTACATGCGGCCTCCTGTCACCCCATCATACCCTTCCAGCTTCCGTCCTTAAGTTCTCTGTTGGTCACAAACACTCATCCTGATGGCTTCTTGAGGCACTCAGATACTATGGTAAGGAGAGCCATAGAAATACTCTGTTATGTACGTAAAATAATCCAGTCAGCCCAAGGTGACAGCATTCACCTAAGAATCTTAATTAGTTCCTTGGAACTTAATTAGTTCCGGGGAACTGCGACTCTATTTAATACATATATGAACTAATGTTCTTATGTGAAGCCCGCTTTACTCTCACTGACACTGGATATGGGTGATGAGTGCTCTGCTCCCAATTCAACAAAGCTTAACTTCAGATACTAAAGCCAACGGGGCTATTCATATGCTTGAAGTTAAGGCTGAGCTTAAGTGCTTCGTTGCATCATGGCCCAAAGACAGGGCACTTTGGATAGGGTGACCAGATGTCCCAATTTTATAGGGACAGTCCTGATATTCAGGGCTTTTTCTTATATAAGCGCCTATTACCCCACCCCTGTCCTGATTTTTCACATATGCTATCTGGTCACCTAACTTTGGAGGATCAAGCCCTTAAAGAATGGAGAGTGAAGGAGTGAGTCCTGAAACCAGATCATTTATTGGTGGTAATACTTTACCACTTACTTTTGCTAAGTTTTAGCAGCATGATCTCCTTTATGATTAAAACTCATTACTGCTCATGGGAGTTGTGTGTGTATATGAGGGGAGAATGTACCTTGAGTTTGAAAAATGGATCCTTTCCAAGATCCAGAAATTATATGGGTAGAGAGCATTCAGTGGAAGGAGGAGTAATTGAAGGGTTATCAGTGTCACAATTCTAACATCTTACGCCCTTTTATTGAAAATATATTTTTATAATATGCTTTTTATATTGCAATTTATTATTAAACTTCCTTGAAGATTAGCACAATCTGTTGTCACATTTTTCTCATGTGGCCTGATTGCTTTGCAAAATACCATATCCTACATATGGCCATCTGTCAAAACAGCAGTGACAAAATGAATTAATCTGAATTGCAGATGTGTTAATGAATCTCTTTGAAGGACTTAAATGTTTAATTAAAAGTAAAGCAGAAGACTATAGAATAATCTTAAAGCTTTTAAAATCTTTAGTATTTGAATTTTGTTTTCAGGCACATAATGTACAATTTTTTTTCGAAATCTGATTAAAAAGAAAAAACAAAGCTGACATAGTAGGTAACATTCACTCAGCAGCAATTGAATAAAAAAATATTAGCACAATAATATCAAATGGTACACCTCCCCCGCCATAAAACAATACACTCAGGAAATTGCCAACTGTCTTCTGATCAGACTGGCTTTAAAGTCAATAGTCTAGTAAAAGGGCCTTCTGTAGGGCTATGTTCTCTGTCATTATATTAATATGAAACAAACAGTTACATTCATACACTTGGACACACAGATGTGCCCATACCCTTAGAGAATGTCTTGTTTAAAAGGATCTTAATATTTACAGCATGCTGTATGAACAGAAACGGCTGCAGAGAAGGTCTGTTTACAAAGCTGATTCGTGGGTGCACTTTGCTAATGGACATCTGTCACAAACGTAGTCCCTTGATAAGCAAGGTACTGAAGCACTTGACTGACTTTAAGCACATGAGTAGCAGTATTCTTGCCAACCCCAAGCGTTCTAAAGTCACAAGTGTTTGGGGTTTTGTTTTTTAAAATAAACAGTATCTTTTGGGTTCTTTTTGTCTGTCTTCTGGTTTGAGGAAGCGCCCAGGTCATGTTTTCAACCTATTTTCCCTTCACCAGGAGCACTAGAAAATTAATGGGAAAAAAACTCTGAGATTATAATGTAATCACTGTAAAACTGGGGCTTTAAGAAGAATATAAAGTATCATGAGATTGGCATCAAATCACAGTAGTTTTCAACACTGCAATAGTCCTATTGGCTTCAATGGGATTACTTATGTATTGAAAGTTAGGTATATACTTAAGTCACCTTGCTGAATCAGGGCCTTAAAACTTTTGTGCCTAGCCGAGTACATCATCATTACTAAGGGTGTTGACTCCTAGATGATCCAATTGATTCTGCCAGGTATATTTGCATGTCCCTCATTTTGTTTAAGTTGTTGTTGCAATGGACAATAGATTTTTACCCAAGGTGAAAGGATAGAGGTTAGAGCTTACAGAGTAACACTTAATTAAAATGAACTCTAATAAAGCACCAGTGTATGAAAATGTTTTCAGTGTTCATTTTCATATGTTTATAGTCTCTTCTAATGCTGGAGATTAGATTTATATCCTGTAGAAATTGAATACAGGAGCTGTCTCATGACGGTGGACATTGTGTTATGTGAGCTGTAAAGGTGTTTTGTAAAAATCTGTTTTTAAAGTATTTCCAGACAGATGTGTACATTGTGACAAAAACTAGTATTCAGATATATCCGATTCAATAGACCAGCAGGTTCTGCTTTAATCCTTAGCAGCTATGACCTTTGCAATAATACATGTGAAAGCCTAACTGAATCCATATCAGTCAAAAGTAAATTAAAATGAATTTAACAAGAAAGGGGATACATTAAGCTTTGCAAAATTGTAAAATTAATATTGCAGCTATGTCACCTTCGCCTGCAACTGGACTGAGCAAGGGTGAGAGAGAGAGAGAAATCAATTCCACGAATTTTGGAGAATGTAAGGATGAGCTGAGAACTTTATTTCTGTCTTGTCTTTCTTCTTGTTTGGTGTTCTTGCTACTCTGTGCTTGGGAACAACTCATCACCAAGGGAGGCGATGGTTTAGCTCTCCATTGGCAAGCAGCAGATATTAGATATTTGTGTTAAAACCACACACTCTCTGGTCGTGCTCCATGCACCTACCCTGCCATATCTCGTTGCTCTGAATGGAGTCACTCTAAGCTGCTGGTTCAATTCCTTCTCATAATCCCTACACAACTCTTTTTACAACTTTTTCAGTGTTACTCAAAATGGTTGCCCTTAAAAGGAGACTTTAGCCATCTGAGCTAATGCTAAGGTCACTACTTTAGAAACACACTGGGGAATGAAGGCAGGGCTGTGAGACCAAAGCCTCACAAATGCATCCCGCAGGTCCTCACTGTTAAAATTTAAGAGTTAAAGGCCCAAAGAAACATTTGATTTTGTTTTAATTTGTAAGGAAAATGGTTTCTCCTAAACCGTAAGGAGAGGACTGGGGTCAATTCTCCAAAACATAATTGCACTGTGTGTTAGTCGTACATTAAGTACGGTATATTAAGCCAGCGAGATGGACAGTTTTTTGTTAGCAGTCTGGACTATGCCAGTAAAAACATCTAATTGGCAAGCTGATGCCAGAAGCTGTAAAAGGAGTTCTGTTTCTTTTGTATCCATCGTGTGTGTGTGTGTGTGTGTGTGTGTGTGGTGGTGTTGTTTCATCTTCCTTTGGTCCTTTAAGATCTGTCACAGTGAATGCATTATGGAAATGTGCTAGATACACTTCAGTTTTAGACTCAATGTTTCACTGCTCTGATGTGAAGCTCTAATTAAAGCCCAGCTTTGCATTGCCCGTGCTGGCCATTAATAGAGTAGACTCTATTTGAACGAGGAACATAAGGCAACAGTTGGTGACACTGTAGGTTGATAAATGTGAACATATTAAGAGATACTGAGAAAATGGGCCCATGCTGAAGATCTCTGTGGAAGCCATTTTGTTTCTGACAGGCAGGGCATGCACTCTAATTGGCGTGGCCAGTCTCTGCCAAAAAGCTTGAGAAAAATTGGAGAGAATCTTTCGTATGTGTCTGTGTTTTTCATGCCTGGATTAACAAAGACAGTGACAAACACCAATTCATTTATTGTCTAAATTCTGTTGTTATACAGAATGTCCTTCATAGAGCAAATAGCCTTCAGCCAGCTATTCTTAACTAATCAAAATTACTGACTTCCAGCATGTTTGTAGCCTTATTATTCTGTAATTATATTTACAGGAAAATTAGGTTATAGCTTAGAGTGAGATGATACATATAAGTCTAAAGCTTAATTTATTACCACAAAGCAGCTAAAATGAGACAATATTGTGTAAAAAGAAGGTGTAGAAATCATTGGCTGTAAAATGGTGTGAATGGAAATGTCAATTCACACGTCTATGACTTACGTTCACCTGTTCATTTCATTTCCCTTCTTCCAGTCTGTGTATTCATATTACATTTTCAATATATTGTTGAGTCTTTGAAAGAGATAATATTCTAGGTAATCTGAAGCCTAAGCAAAAAAACACCATTTGATTAGAACCAACCCGTTTTGTACAACAGACACAGACAGCATAAAATGCAGTAAGAGCCCAACCCAAACCCTACTGAAGCCAAGGAAAAGATTCGCATTGACTTCAAGAGGCTTTGGCCACCGCCCTAAATGAAGACAACAAACGGTTCCCCTCCTCTTAGATATTGAATCCAGCTTTAGTTTGATTATAAAAGTGCATCTTGCATACATGTATGTATTTATACAATTAATTTTATATTAGATATAATTATAGACTGTTAACAAAATGAATCATTTTTGTAGCAGTAAAGTTGAATAGCTCAAAAGAGGAAAATTGAAAGTGATTTCTTTACTAAAGATATAGACAGTTGGTCTATGAAGGAATAATCCTATTATAAATTAGCGGGAGTATATTACAATATTAATCTATGTTATAGTTACTAACCAATAAATATTAAATGAACCTGAAGTTGTCTTCTGATATCATTTAATGATAGCAATTAATTTCACATTTAAATCAAAAAGAAGGAAGAAAGCATGAATAACTTAATATAAAGCATCTTTGTTCAACTGCACTTCAAGGTTACTACTTCAGTGTATGTAATATTCATTGTAGAGGTGTCGGTGGTTTTCCATACTAATGAAGTCGTAGTTGGCTTCTTCTGCATTTCCAGCTGTCTTTGTCTGGTTTACAGTTTTATATCATTTTAAATATAGAGGGTCACATCTGTAGTTGCTGTAAATCAGCTACCTTATTTTTCTGATGTACACCAACTGAGGATGTGACCCAAGGTTATTTAAAGCGTTGTCAGCAGATCAGATCAGGTAAGAAACTGCTGTAGAAAAGCTAAGTATGACTGCAGAAGTCATAATACAGACCTCTTGTTTCTTTTTTTCCTCTTACAAAAACAAAAGCAATGGTAGCATGGAGTTATTCTCTATTGTAGATAATCGCTTAGCAGTGACAGAAGTGTATTTACCAATGATTTGTAAAAGAGTCTGGGATTTATTACTGATTGTCATATTAGTGAATTCTAATATCACAATGCTAAGAAAACAGTGATTCACAATTGGCTGCCTGCTATTAAAACAGAAACCCTCAGATTCCTAGCAGTAATTTACAAATTAAACCTATGAACGTTTTTAGTTATACCTTGAAGTCTGGAAACATCTGATTGGATGTTCCCAAACACGGAGCCTCGTTAAAAAGCACGAGTGCCAGAACAGCACAGCTAATAAATACAGCAGGCCTAATCACCACCTCCTGCAGTCAAACCAAGAGAAGGAGGCTGAGGGAGAAAGCCCCACACGTTGGATCAAGTTCCATAGGTATGTAATTTGAGCATTGATTGGGGAACTCTTTTGGAATGAGTTTGCTTTCATCCGAAGGCTCACGGTGATGCAGGTACTGTACATCATTGTTTAGTTCATCGTTGCAAAGTGGCTTCAATCTGTTTTGCCCTGCAAAGCCCGCTTGTGCCATCCTTACTCATGGTGAGCTATATCTGACCACATGAGCTGTCAATGGGACAGCATATGTAATAGGGTGCTATTCGCTATGGGTGAGGAAGGCGCAACTGGACTGTTAGTTCATCTCCTATCTCAAAGTTTTATCACTTCTAGTAGTACAAAATTGAGAGGTCTCGGGGGGACGTGGGTGTAAATCTGTGCTTTTCTTATTAGAAGTAACAATAATTTCCTTTCCTCCTTTTCCTTCAGTTCCAGATTATCAAGAACAGGATATCTTTCTATGGCGAAAGGAAACGGGCTTTGGGTTTAGGATTCTAGGTGGAAATGAGCCTGGAGAACCCGTAAGTGCTTTTTAAAATGTGGATTTATGTTAACCAGTGTTACCTTCCAGAATCACTGCAAAAACGCATGCAGTGCTGTGCAAACAGCATCTCTGTTAAAATGAGAGATGGGCCTAAGCTAACACCACACATCCAAACACCCTTAAAATTTGAGGGGAGCTCTGAACTTCACTGTTGGTCCTTATCTGTATTCCAGGCCAAACCAAACCCCTAGATTTATCCATCCACCCCCATGCGCCTTGATCGAGAAAAATCTTCCAATATGGTTTCTGTTATTGTTGTATTTGACCTTTGAGCAGTCTTCCCGCACCCGCAAACACCCACATTCTCTGGGCCTCTTAAACATGAATCTAGTACCCGTGAAAGGGGACAGACTAAGAGCACCTAATGCTCTTGTCTATTCACTGAGCAGGTCACACGTAGAACGTGGCAATATAAATTTCTGTATTCTGTCCTGTCACATTTATACCCATTTATGGAGCGTGATTTTTCTCTCATGCCAGAGTAAACGCGGAATAACTCCCCATGAGCTCAGTAAGGCTAAACTGAAATTGGTGTGCATGAGAGAGGACTCAGGCTCAAGGACTCCAGGGACAGGTCAGAGGATAATTCAGTCTCAGTTCACCTCTTGGCTTTCCTGGCAGGACTGACCATACTATTTATCATCTTTCTATTGTATTATAGAGCATTTTTATAAAGCATGTGTCGTGGAAAAAGTCACCCACGCATTGATTTTAGTTCACAGACTCAAGCCTGAGGCCCGTTTATTTGCAATACATACCAACGCGCTGGGGTAGCAGTCTGAAACCTACTTCCTCAATCCAAAGTACAATTTGCCTTTTTAAAGCCGAAAACCGCAATCATATTACACGTTACACGTCATTTATCAGAATTGGGGAGTTAGGGTCTTTCCGCTCTTCCCGGCACCCCTGTTGCAATCTTCCCAGAACAGGGTGCAAATTGAGTAGAGGAGTTCTTGGTGGTTTCCGATACAGTCAACAACTTTCATCACATGGGGTGCCTATTACTTAAATGTTCTGAGCAGGGTACAATTGCTTAATGGGGTTTACACAATTAGGGGACACATAAAGCATGACTTTTTGGGATGATATATTACTGGATGCTTATTGCTTCACACAAGCGGTTATTATATTTCACCAGCCATAAACACACACGCTATTATTACTGCTGCTGGGGTTTTTCCATTCCCCTTTCCCCGGCCCCCTCCCGCCTCTGGTCATGACCCTTGACCGAGACTGGCAAAAGCATAACACTCAGTTTGGTTTAGGCCTGCTTTTTGTAGGGCAGATCCGCAGGCCGGTTAATTTCCTCACACATGTCTCTCAAAGTGCGTTATCAGTAGAGGTTGAGGGATCTGATACAAAGTTATGGTATAGTAATAGTAGAAACAGAATATGCCAGTAGTTTTTATGATGATTTCATGACGTGGACAGGTGTCTACTAACACCTGGACTGTTACTTACTAGAGGCCACTGTACAGTACAGCTGACACATGTTACTGTCTTTTGGATGCTGTTGATTTGGGTCACACTCAGACCGAGGCTCCAGATCTCGTTACCGCTCTCCTGTGATTTCCTGCTGTCTGTCTGATTGGTACATGCTCATTCAACATCTCTCTCTCTCTCTCTCTCTCTCTCTCTCTTGTTTTTTTTAATTCATCAGATTTACATTGGTCACATTGTACCAGTGGGCGCGGCTGATGCCGACGGTCGTCTGAGATCTGGAGATGAACTGATCTGTGTGGACGGAACACCTGTGGTCGGAAAATCTCACCAGCTTGTAGTCCAGCTTATGCAACAGGCTGCCAAGCAAGGTCATGTCAATCTAACTGTAAGGCGCAAAGTGGTATACACAGGTATGTTGCCATGTGACCGGGTGGGCACAGCTCTTATTATTTTCCATCTGTGTCCAGTGATCGGCTTGCTAACGATCAAAAGCTCCGTCTCATAATATTCTTGCAAAAATGGGAATAACGATATGGACGCAGATATTATTTCACCCTTTGTGTTGATTTTTATTTTATTTTATATTTTGGTGGTTCAAATATTGTTTAAATATAGGTTTCTTTCTGGTTAAACATGTATCAAGATTCTCTGTTTGTAAGCAGCCTGGGCCTCTTCAGTCCTTGTTCAGGTTTCTGTTAAAGCCGTTCACGAACACGAATCATTGTTGTTGTCATTACTTATATGTGTTATGGTAGCTTCATGATGCTCAGACACCCGGTAAGAGACTGTCCCTGCCCTGAGGAACTTACAATCTAAATAGACAAGACAGAAAGGGGCAGAGGGGAGGGACAGAGGCCCAGAGAGGGAAGATCACTTGCTCAGGGTCACACGCAGGACTGCCATACAGGTCTCCAGAGGCCCAGTTCCCTAGCCCTTAGACCATGCTCCTCTCAGGACATCCCTTCAGTTCTGTCCGTGAGAGACCGTTGAAGACTGATGCAAAGTAGAGTTGTTTGAAACTCTTCTCTGCTTTTTCATTTTGTAAGCACCATATTCAAAAGCCAGGGTGTTCCCACATTGATCCAAGGTGAAAATATAACCATTCCCGCCACTGAACATGGCTTGGGTGAGGGGAAAAACAGAGGCAAGAACAAAACATTGTTTTGTTGTTCTCGCAAATCTGTAAAAATGCGGCGTTGTCAAAGAAAATGACAATGCAGCTAGCGAGCTCATGATGAATGATAGTTGATTTATGTATCACTCCTGTTGACTGGTAGCACTGAGATTTTGCTCCATCTGCACCCAAATTTCAGGGAGTTTAGGTTTGGTATTTTGGTCTAGGGCCATTTCTAGAAAGAGAAGATGTGAAATAGACCTTCAAGGTGAGGTGTCAGCAGAAGAATAGGGAGTGAGGTATTTTAAGCTTAAAGAAGCATCAAAGTAACCTTCAGATTGAGAAATAAACACACACAAGTAGTTAAGACTGTCACAGCCTCTCTAAAACTGCCCCTTGTTCTTATACATTGAACCACAGATGGGCTTCTTGCAGGCAATGTGAAATATGTGCTTATTTCTTAACTAATACTTTCAACAATGTAGTGCAAGTGGAGCATAAATTATTTGCTATAACAGCCTACAGCACTAGAGTAAATACTGTGGTGTTTGTTTGACATTACCATTGTAGATCCTGTAAGAGAGGATTGGTTTTATAGAGGTGGGGATTTTTTGTTAATTTTTTAAATCCAGGCTAGAAACTGGCATAAAAAGATTTAGATTATATTGTGTCTGAGCTTTTGGTTCCCTACTGCTCCCCTTACCCTTGGGTCAAGAGGGTTTGAGATTGTTAGTCTAGGATTTGCACAGGGTGATGTTTGCATTTTTGCCTTTATATCCAATACTTGTGCAGTGCCTTTGTCTTGGTCTCTTGATGGGTAACGACGTTCAAAAGCGCATTTTTCTGTCTGGGTTTATTTGTTAAGATGTAGTTTAATGATCATTAGCTTTTGTTGTAACACCGCCTACGACTTCTGTTGTTCATGATCTGTACGGTTGTAGTGCCTAGACTACATCCTTGTTGTACGTGGCACTGTATAAACATGCAACAGTGAGATGATCCCATCACAAAGCGCTTACTTTGTGCTCTTTCAATATTACTATTCAGTATTATGCACTGGAAATAAGTGTGTGTTAGCAAGACTCTAAAGCCTGGTCTAGACTGGGGGGGGGGGGGGGGAGAGAATCGATCTAAGTTACACAACTTCAGCTACGTGAATAATGTAGCTGAAGTCGACGTACTTAGATCTACTCACCGCGGTGTCTTCACTGCAGTAAGTCGACTGCTGACGCTTCCCCGTCAACTCCACCTGCGCCTCTCGCTCCAGTGGAGTACCTGAGTCGACGGGAGAGCGCTCGGCAGTCGATTTATCGCGTCTTCACTAGATGCCATAAATCGATCCCTGCTGGATCTATCGCTCCGGAGGTAAGTGTAGACATGCCGTAACTTAACCCTACCTATGGGGGTTGCTTTATAATATACAAGTGGTGCAATCTAGGTAGTTAGTGATACTTAACCCTGCATCTTCTCTTGGGCCTGGAATGAGTACAAAGGTGCTCCAGTTTAACTAAATGTGTAGCAGGTGGTATTTAACAGGGACAAGCTGAACCAATGTAAACCAGATTTAAAATGGTGTAGAGCATCCACACACACAAAGTTGCACTGGTTTAACTCAGTGCAACATCACTCCTTTAGTTAAATCGGTGCAACTTCTCTGTGAAGACAAGACCTTAGTTGTGCTACTGCACCGACAAGCAAGCATTTGCACGCCTGCCACGCGTGTGTGTTTTCCATCTTGTTTCAAACTGGTGGTGGCAGCTGATAATGACTGACTACAAGATGCAAAGTAAATATTTCCAGTCATCCGCTCACAGTAAAATAGACCTGTTCTGCCATTTATCATAGGTATGTGTTTCTGTTGCCGAACATTTGTAATACTAAAAACAGTGTTCTCTGTAGACAGTTCAGTGAGACTCCTGCATTTCTTCTGCAGTTCCAAAAGCAGAGAACGAAGTCCCTTCTCCAGCCTCTTCACACCACAGCAGCAACCAGCCAGCTTCCCTGACGGAGGAAAAGCGGACCCCGCAGGGAAGCCAGAACTCCTTAAACACTGTGAGCTCGGGCAGCGGCAGCACCAGCGGCATTGGCAGTGGCGGGGGCGGGGGAAGCGGCGTGGTCAGCACAGTGGTGCAGCCGTATGACGTCGAAATCCGCCGGGGAGAAAATGAAGGCTTTGGCTTTGTGATTGTGTCCTCAGTTAGCAGGCCCGAGGCAGGGACAACTTTTGGTAAGTCCTGGGAATTGTCGAAGCACCTCTAATGAGACAAGAGTTTGAATGCCATGGTGCGGTCAAGAGTAGCTAGGATCTAAATAATTTAAAATTCATGAACAAGCCTTGATTTGTGTAATTAATAACTTCATTGAATGCTGAGCATTAGTAGGTGTTTGCCTCCTGGGTTTTGCTCAACAGTGAATTAAAAAACACAGATGGCTATTGTAAACAGCCCCACCACCAGTGCCAAAGACTGACACTCCTTGAGTGCACTCCAGAGATAGTTTGCAGTGGTGTGTTAACCACGTGCCCTGGGTTGGATTGTGCTGTCCATCAAATAGCAGGGGGAACCTGTGAAGAAGGGGCACATGATATTGCAGGATAGAAATAACTGAATGATTGAAATTTTGCCCCCTGTTGTCAGTGGAGATTCCGTTCATTTAAAAATAGCAACTGTTACACTGATTAGCTTTTCTTTCGGGTTCGTAGGGATGCTCTTGGCTCACCATAGGGGGATGAGCAAGCCGATATCTGGGAACTGCTAAAATGTTAGTGGTCGCCATAAAATCAAAAAGATAGCTCATCTCCTTAAGCTCCCGCTGCCTCCTTCTCCCAAACACACACTTCATTTGAATAGTGGAAAATGAGCAGCTGACATGACTCTGTCTGTATGCTGCTTTACTGAATTTGGTCACCTGTGCTTTCTTAAGAGAGCCCGGTGTGGTACCCCTTCCGAGCCGTTTGATTCTTGGCAGGAAGATGTAATTCTTTCTGCATAGCTAAAGAGGGGTATTTTTGAAACAACCATTAACTAAAGCAATGACAGAGAGTGGGGATGGCATTTGGGTGGAGATGTAGGAATGGAAGGAAGGTTGTGATGGAAATGAATACCCTGCATGAGGCCAGGGGCAATATTGGCTTCTGTGCTCAGGGGAGTATAGAAACTACCCGCCTCTGCGTGTGCACTCCCAGGACACATCCCCAAAAAAAGACTAGGAGGGGAAAAGAGGAGGCAGAGCGGTAGCTCTACTCCTTCCACACTACCCTGTGTAGCAGGTTGGGCACACCAGGCCAAGTAGACTGCACCATCCTATGCAACCTGCAATGTTCTCCAGGTGCACTGGCGAGCTTGGAGAAGAAGTGCCTCTCGCTGGCTTTATCTGTACTAGCCTTTTCTCCCTAAAATTTCCCACCATTGCTATCACTGGTGAGAGCACTAGCATAGTGATGGTGCTCTACCTACCATGCCTTCGAGAGCAGTCGTTCTTAGCACTGGTAGAGCTGCTACAGTGGAAATTTCAGGGGGAAAAAAGAGTCGTGAAGATAGTGTCTCAGGTACAGTCCGCCCCCAAGCTTCTGCTGGAGGAGGGCAGCCCCATGCGTCCCTCAGTACCTCAATACTGCAATTTGGGCCTAGCCATTTTTATACCAAAGCACAATGATCTATTAAAGTGTAAACTGAATATGGAGAGAGATTTTATGTACTTGAAAGTATTTAAAATATATATGGTCAAATAGATATTACTAGATGTGAGATATATTGTGCTTTTTTCTCCGTAAAGAAACTTTGTCATGATGTAAAAAGTTGTTTACTTGAACCAGAAATGTTAGCTACATGAAAGCTGCTGTTATATAATTTTTGTAGGGTTTCCACGGTGATACGTTTTGACCTTTGACTGTTTTTCCTTGAATTTTTGAGTACATTGACCTTTTTCCTAATGTTCTGCATGAGATGCTTGTCCTGAGCTATGCAGTGCTTGCCTCGTACCTGTAGTTTCTCACATGGGTGGTCTTTAGAGATGGGCCAAACTGATTCAAAAACGCCCCTGGTCACCCGAGCATGGGTCCGTCATCTATGATCTGTAAATAGGGGAGATTGAAAATGAATTTCTGATTTTGAGGCCCACAAAACATCCACTGAAATGAGCAGTCCAATGATGGTCTGTATGAGAGAGGAATTTGCTCACTATTGAGAAATAATAATCCTTACTGCTGGTGAGGAGCGTGCATTTCCCACCTTGTCATATCCCCGTTTTTTAGCCCTTTCTTCTTTATGGTCTTTTTGGTACTGTAACCCATGTCGCAGCATATATCTCTAAAACTACTAATAAAATAAACGATTACAGCATATACACAGAACTGGCTTTTGGGGATGAATGTATTCCGGAGACAGAGTTCTCACTGCGTGCCTCACAATCTCATGCTCCACTTCTCATGTGTTGCATGTCTGGGCTTGTCGGCAGTTTCAGGAAACTAGATGGTTGGTTTGACCTGAGTTCTGTCTCCTCTAGCCCCAATTCTGCAAGATGTTGAGCATCCTCCAGTCACATTGATTTCAGTGGTGCTCAGCCCCGTACAAAGTGATTGTGTGCGGTGGGAAGACGTTTCTGAGTCTGTAATGCATTCCTCACAAAATGCTCTTGCTGTGTCTCTCTCTTAGATATTTGGATTGTTCTGCCTGTGGTTTTAGAGCTATTTAAATCAGGAATGCCTCATTTCCCCCTCTCCTCCCCCTCCCCCACCCACAACCCTATGCCCTTTAAGATCATAAAATGGGAAGAGTTAACAAATGGTTATGAGGAGGTTGGTGGTACCGAGCAGGTCAGGTATGTCAGTCTTGGCCCATCTCTAGTGGTCCTGCGCCTTGCCTAGTGCTTTCTTTGTTCACTATGGAAGAAACAACATCTTATTGCTTACCCGTGCAGCATTGATAGACTAGATCTCTGTGGTTAAAAGGGGAGTCACACTCCTTCCTAGGCATAGAGTGATTATCTTTCTAAATTGAGAAAGAACAAAACATTGGCAGAAGCTTGAACAGCAGCTGGCTGAGATAAAGACGAGAGATGCTGACTGATGTAATCTACAAGCAGCAAGGTTGAGTTTTCTTCCAGCAGTTTGAAGGTTGCAGTACAAAAATAAAACCTCAGTCCGGTTATTTTTGGACTGTTGAGTGCAGTTATAGACTCTAAAAATCCCACCATTTGCAACCAAATGATGGGTCAGAGTTTTGGTGGATTAGCTATCTAACTATAGGGGCTGGTCTACACCTCGGGGGGGGGGGAAATCGATCTAAGATACGCAACTTCAGCTACGCTATTCGCATAGCTGAAGTCGAAGTATCTTAGTTCGACTTACCTGGCCGTCCTCACGGCGGCAAGTCGACCACCGCGGCTCCCCTGTCGACTCCGCATATTCCTCCTGCTGAGGTGGAGTACGGGCGTCGATTCGGGGATCAATTTATCATGTCTAGACGAGACGCGATAAATCGATCCCCGATAGATCGATTACTACCCGCCGATGCGGCAGGTAGTGTAGACGTGGCCTAGGAAACACCTACCTGTAACGGTAGTAAGTCCAGGTGAAGCACTTTGCACTCGTATAGTTGATTTGCCAATGTTTTGAACAGCGGCAGCAATGCTATCCTTTAATAACTTTTGCTTGATGCATTAATTAATTAACCCTTAACCTTCTCTTTCCCTTTTCAACCCTTTTTCTCCTTTTCCCCTTCACCGCTGTCCCATGTATATAAACAATTAAAAACAAAAACAAAACCAATACAAAAGCAGGAAATGCATGTGTGGCCATGCCTCACAAAATAGGTCGGATCATTGAGGGGAGCCCCGCAGACCGCTGTGGCAAGCTGAAAGTAGGAGACCGAATCTTGGCTGTTAATGGATGTTCCATCACCAACAAATCGCATTCAGATATTGTCAACTTAATTAAAGAAGCAGGAAACACTGTTACTCTGCGCATCATTCCAGGGGATGGTAAAGTATATGCTCATTTCTGTCTCATCCAAATGTTTTATTTCTCTTTGGCTTTTCATGTCACTTTGAGTTGCACAGACTTGCAGGTTTCCATTCTCCACCCACCAGGCTGGAGTTAGCATTGAGAAGTTTGCCACTGTCATACAACCATGTCTCTTCGCGCCCTCCCCCTGCCCCTCCTTCCTATAACTGGAAATCAGCTTTTTAAACAACAACAAAAAAAACCAAGAGGCTCTAAGTCTGGTCAGAAATTAAGATCCCCTCCTTCCTGCATTCCTCCAACTGTCTCTTTAAAACTACCTTCTGTAAATGAGACCCACATCTCTGTGGATTTTGAAACTTTATTTGATTTTTGCAGTGATAATGCTGCGTTAGAATATTTGGGAGAGGATGCATGCCCTGTAAGGCATGAAGTCCCCGAGGTTTTACATATACACAAGCAGTCTATATAGCAATAGGGATCACAGAAAGGGATAAACACATTGTCATGATTTAAGCCGTTTGAAAAGAAGCTTTGTTTTTATTCAGGGCAAGTTGCTTTAGGAATGATCTCAGTGCCGTTTGAAATGCTTTTGCTCAGTGATTTTGGTTCTCGAGGTGCTCACAACTGATTGGTTCAGGAATTACGCCGAGATGGGGTAATTTTATTGTCCCAGGAATTACTTAATGTGGCTGATAGCTGGGGCCAGACCTGGTCATAGCGTGCTTAAAAACAATTAATGGATCTGCACCGTGCCTAGGGGCTTAACAACGCAAACACTTAGTTTGTGGCAAGCTGTGGTGTAAATCTACCCTGCTATGTGCTAAGGAACTGTTAGTGAGAGGCAGCCGGGTCTACACAGACACTGTGCATGGCAGGATAGAACGGGGTAGATCTACACCCCCGCTTGCTGCAAACTAAGTGTTCATGCAGACAAACCCTAGGATTGAATTGGGAAGAACTCTTTTCCCAAACCTATCCCTGACCATACCATTAAGAACAAGGCATAAATGTTAGGGATATTTCTATAGTAGGATTAAATCGTTATGGTTCTGAATCCCATATTTTTTATTGATTCGCTGTAAATGGTATGCTCTGGATTGGTCTGTAGTCTAAATTTGCTTCGTAGAAATTCTCTCCTGCAGTCCTGTCCGTGTCAAGCTGAATCAATGTTTATAACATTTGACGGCCCTGACTCAATCCTAATGAGCATTTTGAGAATCGTGCAATATATTATTTGCAGTCCAGAAAACTCAATTAAATGTAGAAAGAGTGCAATTAAGGAAAAATTGACTCAAATAAGATAGCCCATTGCAATGAAAACTATTAACATGAGGTTTTTTCACCCCACAGTCTGACTGGAAACATTGTGCTGTCACTTATGCTTCGGTGTCTATCACACAAGCCATATTGTACTCTGTATCTATGAAACAGAGAGTTTATGGCAGTGAATATTTTTAGAGAGCTGGAGAGAAATTATGAATTGAGCCAGGGATTTTCAAAGGAGCATAAAGGAGTCACATGTCCAGTTTCCAGTGGAAAAATTCAGTGGTGCCTAACTCTCCAAGAGTATGTCTACAATGCAAAGAAAAACCCATAGCACCGAATGTCACAGCCCAGGTCACAGTGCTCAGGCTGCAGGGCTAAAAATAGCTGAGCAAGTGTTCCCTATTGGGCTGGATCCCCACTCCTCAGATTTCAGAACCGAGGCTCCCAACTCCAGTGGGAATGTATACACTGCTATTTTTAGCCATACAGCCCAAGTCCTGCGAACCTGAGTCAGTTGCCCCAGCCCTTCAGACTCAGCGCCACAGGTTTTTCTTTGCAGTGTAGACGTACTCTAAGACTCCTTTGAAAATCACAACCTGAACCATATATTTATGCCTTACCCAAGAAGCCTGATTACAGTGCTTTTAGTTATAAAACTTTAAACTGATGAAGACCAGAACGTATCTGTCTTTATAAACCACTTCTATTTAGGATGAGATATTCTGTACATTTCGGGGCTTTTTCCTTATATTGCTAAGCAGCAGGTCAAACTCTGTGTGATCTTCTGCAGCTTCCAGTGAATTGAGTATTCACGAATAATGAAATGACTATAAATCAGATAGGCTGGAATCTGAACTGGCCTGTATGTGCCAATGTTGAATAGAGACCTAGAGAAAAGTGGTTCATTACCATGTTCCTGCAACTGAATAAAATTGAGCGACGTCGACGTCTGAGTTATAAAAATCTTGAATGGTTTAAGCATCTTCACATAAGAGAGGATTTCCTCTCCCACACACATACTCAGCCAGTCAGTGTGTGTGTGTCGGAAACATGCCAGCCGTGTGCACCCAAACACACATAACAGGATTATGGGAGAGACAACATGCCACGTTAACTCTGTTTAAGCTGGGAGAAAGACATGCAGGCAATGCTCCGCTAAGGCTGTTCTGAAGGCATTCCACGCTGAAAGGAAAGAAAGGCAAAGGAGTGCCAAGTAAGAAGGGAATGATCTTTACACTGGTGTCACTGCAGAATTCGGGCCTTCGTTTTAACTTTCACTTTGCAGTTCAAGGTCAGGGCCGGCTCTGGCTTTTTTGCCGGAGCCGGGGGGGGGCGGGGCGGCCAGAGCCCCGGCGGGGGCTCCGCTCTCCCCCCGGCGGCCGGGGGGGGGGGCGGCCGGAGCCCTGGGAGGAGGGCGGCGAACCCCGGCGGGGGCTCGGCTCTCCCCCCCACCCCGGTGGCCAGAGCGCCGGGGGCAGGGTGGCGAGCCCCGGCGGGGGCTCGGCTCTCCCCCCGGCGGCCAGAGCGCCAGGGGGAGGGCGGCGAGCCCGGCTGTGGCCCCGCTCTCCCCGGCGGCCGGAGCGCCGCGCCGCCCCCCTCCAGGTGCCGCCCCAAGCACCAGCTTGGGTGCCTGGTGCCTGGAGCCGGCCCTGTTCAAGGTGATTTTGTCAATTTTACTCAGCAGGCATTCAAAAGTCAGGGTGCAGCCCCCCCTTTCTCTCCTCCCCTTCCCCTCCCCAAAAAAGCCAGGAGAGATTTGCTCTAAAATCATGAGGTTTTTTAAAAATCCATGTTGGGTTCTTTTCATCTGCCTTCTGCATTTGAAGCCTTTAGGGGTCATATTTTCAAGCTTTTCTCCACAGCCAAATATCATGAGATGATCACAAGTGTTGGCATCGCTTACTAATGAAATTAAAAAGTTTTTAAAAAGTTATTTTTACTGTGTGATAATTCTAGGGCCTCTGAGAGAGTCCTACAGTTTCAGGCCTGAAGGGCCAACAAGCCCATCTAGTGTGACCACCTGGAAATCACAGGCCACCAAAAACATCCAGCACCCGCACACTAAGCCCAGCAACGGAAATGAGACCAAAGTATCACAGGTAGACTATACTACGCTGCACAAAAGGCAGAGAATAGGAGGGACCGAGGTGCACTAGTGTCCAAGCCAAGAAATGATTAAAAAGCATCTGTATGTATGTGTATATGTAGATAAGTTCTGTCCCATAAATACTTGTATAGTGCCCATTGAGGTCCATGGGAGTTGCACATATCTATCCAAGGGCAGAATTTGGCCCATAGTGCCTTCAAATATTTTAGATAGTTATTCTGATCTTTACTAATTTAGGCCCTGATCCTGCATGCACTTAACTTTACACCTTCCTGAGTACTCCCACTGAAACTGGCCGAGAAAGCAGTGGGACTGCTACAGTACATCCAGTCAGTCACATGCATAAATCTTTACAGGATAGGGGAAAATGTGTAGTACACTGGGAATGAGTGTTTCGCATGAGAACAAAACTGGAAGCAATGTCTGTCTGTTTCATCCCTGAGCCTGAACTTGAAGTGTGGGTTGGTACCTATTGAGTTAACTTGACTTAGCAAAGCTTTCTGATGGTGGCAGTGGAGAGAGCAATCTCTGTTGTTAAAGGTGATTTGAGGAGATCTAATTTAAAGTAAAAATTTGCAAACAGCCTTTCAGCAAATGATATAGTGGTTCTTACAGAAGTTAGTAAAACTAGACAACCTTTAAGTCAATTAGATAGATGGCTCTTCTTATTTCAAAGCAGGGAGGACAGTAGAAATTATTCAGAGAGCATGCTCGCCTTGTATCTTGAGCCTTTTTATAAAAAGTTAGTAAAAATACTGCACATCTGTTGACAATTAATAACTCTTATGCTAGTGTGGTCTAAAGATAGACCCAGAACCGTGTCGTGGAATTTCATCAGTACCTAAGATGTATTGTTGATCTACTTGGTATTTTTTGCATGACCTCCTAAGGAGCAAGGTTATTGTATTCTGTTTGTACCCAGTCTCCATGTCATACCAAAATGGCAATGGAAGGTTTATGTGGCTTGTGTGCTGTTTGAATTCAGTACAATTTAGAAACAGTTTATTTTGGGAGCAGATTGTAGCCTCAGGGATGCCCAAGTGAATTAGACAAGACCATGTTGTCTTAAAATCCAACAGTTCTTTAATGCAGCCAGTGCCCACAAGCAGGAGTGTGGCTGGCTCCAGACAGCATCACCCCCAACAAGTACAGTTTGTTTTACTTTACTTTCCTCAGCCTCTCTCAAACCACACCCACCCAGCTAGTGGGGGAAGGGACATCTGTTACAAGGTGTCCTATAGTTTAAAATAAAATAAACAAACCAATGCAATAAACTACAATCCCAGCATTAGATACATTTCCAGAAAAGCTTCCAGCCATCATCTTCAAATCACTCTTCTTCTAATTGAGGCACATACCTTCCATTAATGCAAACTGGCACTATAGGGAACTTCCCTCAGAGTCACCAGGGAGAAATACCAGATGACAGAAGCGTAATGCAAACAAGGTTAGGCAGGAAAGAGACCTTAGAGTGATTGGAGAACCAGGTGTTTTATTTGTTTGTGTGTTAACTTGGGCTTGAAGCAGAAACTAGTCAAATTCAGACTAGAATTTTTTACATTACCTACACATTTTTTTTAAAAGTGAAGATAATTAATCATCGGAACAACTTACCTAATGACGTGGTGGATTCTGTGTCACTCAAATTCTTTACATCAAGTTTGAATGTCTATCTAAAGCTCTAGCTCAACCAGAAATGTTGGCTTGGGGCAGGAATTGCTGATGAAATTCTCTGGCCTGTGTTTATACAGGAAGTCAGATTAGATGTTCATAATGGTCCCTTCTGGCCTTAACATTGAGGAATCTATGAATGAAAGTTCATTAGCAAACTGAGAGTCAGTGCAGACCAGGCTAAAGTAATCAATAAGCTCAGCCATGTTAGATCGCGGTTACTTCAGATTGTAGCCCTTCAGAGGAATGAAAATAGCCCTCAGGCCTCCCATCCAGCAGGGGGAGGTATGCCATTTTTACAAGGACGCGGGATATGTCTACACAGCAACAGCTGTTCATGGGCTAGCTGACCTGAGCTAGTGTGAATCCAACGAGTGCAAGTAACAATAGAAGTGATGACAATGCAGCATAGGCTTCAGAGCGGGATAGTGAGCTCAGTGCATCCCCAGGGTCCGTGCTAGACCCACACTGTTCTTCTTCACTGGTATTGTTACTCACGCCAGCTGGATTCATGCTAATGATTTCTAAAGAATACCTCCATGGTATTCAGTGGACTTCACCCTGCCAGCAAGGGGGGAGGATGTGCCTTGGATAAAAGTCATGCTATAAGCAGTGTTCCCTCTAATTTTCCCCACACAGGTGTGGAATGAATTTTGTTATGTGCACCAATAGGGAGGTGATGTGTGTCACACATCACCTCCCTATTGGTGCACATAACAAAATTCATGTGGTGTGGGGGTGGGGCCGAGGGGTTTGGAGTGTTGGAGATGACTCAGGGCTGGGGCAGAGAGTTGAAGTGTGGGGGGTGAGGGCTCCGGGGTGGGGCCGGGGATGAGGCGCTCAGGGCTGGGGCAGAAGGTTGGAGTGCAGGAGATCCAGGCTCTGGGGTGTGGCCAGGGATGAGGGGCTTGGGGTGCAGGAGGGTGCTCCGGGGCTATGGTGGGGAGAGAGAGGACTCCCCCAGCTCTGTCTCCCTGCAGCAGCACCTGGGCTGGGCGGGAAAGGCTCCCCTCCTTCGGCCGCAGCAGGTCCAGGCCAGGCCTGAGTACAGGCCGGGGGAGGGGCAGCCCAGCTGCGGCAGGTCCGGGCCGCCCCTCCCCGTCCGCAGCTGGTCCCAGCCGGGCGGGTTCTCTGAGCACCTGCGTGGTGCTAAATAGGCTGCTGCATGGCCGCGCAGCTTACAGGGAACTTAGTATATAAGTACTGCGTATTTATTTGATTATTTATTATTGGTAAGACACTGTAACTACCTACAGTAGGGGGGGAAGTCTTTTCTAAAGACCAAGATTTTTCTGAAAAGGTAATCCTAGATATTACTGCTGTATTCATTGAGTCAACAGTTATCACTGCTCTTGACTACAGGGAACAGGCTTCCATTTGTACCTTGAATATCATGTGTTCCCAGTGCTTTTGGTGATTTCTGTTCTCAACATGTTTGTTTAGATTAGCTTCAGAAATCATAATTATCATAAATGGTGGATATATTTGTTTGTTGTGATTTCCCAAGCAAATGTCATTGAAACTCTCAGCACTTGCTCTCATATAAACATAAATATCGAATGTCATCTTTCAGAGTGTACAACTGGTTCCATCTATTATAACCATTTTAAAGATGTCTTTTCCTCGAAAATACTCACTTCTGCAGACTTTAAAGTGAGCACTTTCCAAAATGGCCAAGCAAGGAGGAGTTCAAAGATTTTTCAAGTCCTTTATTCACTTATTGAGCACTGTAATCCTGTAGATACGTGGGAATTTCTCTCTGTGTACGAATGCTTTCTTGAGCTTATCCCTTAACTTTCATCAATAGTGTATGCACTGAGTGCATTCTGTAGTTTCTAAAGCTATCCAGCAACACTTTCAATAAGGAACAGTATGACATACACTTACGGAGAATGCATAGGATCTGTGATCATGGACACTTAACGTTGCAAAGGGCCTAATTTAGATCCAGATTTCAAACACTCACAATGCTTCAAGGGTATTTGTATCTGGGTATATGGTTTGGTTTCATATGGCTCCTTTTTTGCCCCCAGTCTTTCTCGTTTGTGCTTGACCCAAAGCTATTAAGAAAATCTGTAGCAGAGCAGAAAATAGAAACTAAGTCTCTCATTTTTATGATTTAGCCACAAATCTATCTTTTCTTCCATTTGCAAAATTCATATTCCAGGCCTCTTCCCAAAATGAGCTCAGATTCCAGCCCTTCCTCCCAGAAAATTGGTGGGTATTCAGATCAGGGTATTGGGTTGGATCACAATTGGCCTAACTGCTCCTATTTAAGTCAGTGGTAAAACCCCCATAAAACCCAAAACATCTGTCAGGGATGGTCTAAATAGTACTTAGTCCTGCCGTGAGTGCAGGGGACTGGACTATATGACCTCTTGAGGTCCCTTCCAGTCCTATGCTTCCATGGTTCACTCGGAGCAGAGTTAGGCCAATGCTGAGGACTTTGAAAATCTCGCCCTTCAGTTTTTGTGTGCGTCTGGTACAAGTTATGCCACTCCAAGGGAATGTGTATTACACTGAACATAGAATGTGCAATAGAATGTGCAGTATTTTAATGAACAATAAGAATTTGAACAACACAATTGGTTAAATATTAGAGAGACATGTGGAAACCATGTGTTTTTGATCACGTCCAAAGTGTTAAGTCAATAGAAAACTACCATTGCCATCAATAAGTTTTAGATTAGGCCTTTATTGGATATATCCCATAACAAAAACTTTAAAGGTACAGATTGAGATGGAGACAGAATTGACTACATTGTGGTTTATGGACTATTTTAGTGTTCCTATAAAAAATAACCCAAAGGATCGTCTGACTTTTGAAGTAATTAAGATTTGGCGTATGTGTTGCTGATCAAGCAACAAAACATTCCATGATCCTTAATTAGCCTATACTTCAAAAAAGATTAACCTTAGCTCTTAATAGTGAGGTGGATAATGGAACACGTCTAGCCCAAACTTCCTAAATATTTTTCTGATTTACTTGTGTGCCTTTTCAGAATTACTGCTCTCGGAATTTCCTTGAGATTAATGAAAATGCTGATGAAATTTAGTTACTGGAGAATAAATCCAATTTACATAAAAATATAAAATTAATTACTTTAGTGGGACATCTTGCTGCACACAATTTACATTTACCAGTTATTTTTGATTCAGGCATCCTACCCCCCAACCCTTTATTAATTTTTCATCGGTAATGAAGTTAGAGATAATGTCTTGAACATTCAAGAATTTTCTTTGTTATTGAAGGCACACAGAATACAGTAACAGCAGTGACAGGTTAGTGTTTAAAAGACTTTCTGTTATAAGGATCACAGGGGCAGAAGCGAGGCTGTAGCGGAATCTTCTGTATCTAAAGGCAACCACTAGAAAAAGTCAAGCACAGAGGACTATCAGCATCATGTAAAATTCCAATGTGCAACTCTTGGTTAAAAAGCCCTTGCAGATGTATAGCTGCAGTGCTGTTGCATGTGGCTGCATTTACAGAAGGCTGAGAGAAATTCTATCATCTTTATTTTCCTATTATTATTTTCTTTATCAAAGGCTTTCTATATATTTACGGGGTTTGGGGCAATCCTTGCACAGTGTGTGTTGAGATAAATACTTAATCGTTACCTAGTAACAAAATTCTCCTTTCAATTGCTGGATTTATTAAAGATGAGCCAGTGCGCTTCCCTCTCAGGCACATTTTCTTAAAAAATGTTTTTGATACTTCCCAGTGAAATCCCATTGCAAAGCATACATTTGTCTTTGAATGAATTATCCGATTTAAGCTCTTTTCTCACAAGAAGCACCATTTTGTTTTACAGAATCCTCCAATGCTACTTTATTGACCAACGCTGAAAAAATTGCTACGATTACAACCACACATACTCCTCAGCAGATACCCCAGGAGCCCAGGTCAGCTAATTTTCTTTGAGGCGAGCATGTTGACGTGCTATTTCTTTAGTCATTTCTGAGTCATCTTCATTTCCCATGAGTTGTTTTTTTCCCCCTCTCTCTTCCTCTCTCTCTCATTCATTTCAACAGGAACAACACAAAACCAAAGCAGGAATCCCAGTTTGATTTCAAACCGCCCCAGGCAGCACAGGTAAGGGATGCCTTTCTGATTAGCTTGGTTTACCATGCAAACGTGGTTCCAGTCTGCTCAAGGGTTGTGCTTAAAGTGTTCTCCCTAGAAAATCTCTCTTGTGAGGCTAGATTCCCTCCTCCAGGTTGTCTGCGAAAGAGGGATCACTGATTAGAGTTTTAATATGCGTTGATGTTGTTCCATATGACAAACACTTCAAACACAGAGGTACATCAGGATTAAAAACAAAGACAACTAAATATCTTATGACAGTAATAATTTATGTGTTTGTTTACTGGAGTGTGTTCTCTGAGGGGGCTAGCCTGAAGGAGTTACTGTGCACCAAATGACAGACTCAGAGGACAAAAAAAGAAAATAAATCCAAGTTTGATAAGAGGGCTATAGCATGGGTTCTTTGAGTTTATCATAGGCCACAGCTTAATAACAGAGAGATTATCTCATGGACTCTTCCCCTCCCACTGGCAACTACAGTGATAACCACTCTCATTACTGATTGCTAAGCATCTTTGTGGTAATACAGCAATTCCTCTGCTGTAGAGAGAAGAATTGCATGCCTTTTTAGTAGTCTTGAATAGAATGTGCCAGCCACTAACAAGAAGGAGTAGCTAGCACCATGGGACCAACCAGCTCTTTGCAGGCCATTAACAAACACTCTTTGAATCACAGTCTGGGTCTTTAGGAGCAACGAGAAGCCTTTGTCTTTGTATGAAAACAAACGTTGTAGATATATATTTGTATTAAGACGATTTAATGTCCATTGTTAAATATTTGCCAGGCCCGGCAACAGCACAGAATTCAACCTCTTGTTCAGTTCTGTACAAATTGTCTTCCCTCCAGCAGGACCAAGATTTTTACACCGTTGAACTGGAAAGAGGAGCCAAAGGATTTGGCTTTAGCCTGCGAGGTGGTCGCGAGTATAATATGGATCTCTATGTATTGCGGTTAGCTGAGGATGGTCCAGCTGAGAGGTGTGGAAAGATGAGGGTAAGTACAAAAAAAGAGTTGGGGGAAAAAATCTATTTGCAACAAAAATGAAATGACAAGAGAAAAAGGAAGTAGCTCCTTTTAATCTCTGTTAACTTGCTTACCAACCTGTCAATAGCTGGCTTCTGTCAGAAGCTGCACTTGCTCCGTATGTTGGCTTCTAATTGACCCCCATCTTTTGAAGCTCAATCAGTTGCTGACCAAATCCCAGCCCTTATTCCAGACATTATCCCCAAATGTTAATGTTTCAGTTTTCTTTAAAAAAACGTAGCAAGGTTCATGCATGAAAGAAAGTGTGATAAGCTGCCGTCTTGGCCAACACACTGGGGATTGAACCAGGAACCTCTAGAGCTGAAAGCATGAGCTGCTACAGTTTGAGCTAAAGTTTCCTAGCTGGGCCGGTAACAGACTTAAATGCTCTACAGGTAAGGTACCGAGAGGAGCCTGCATAACACACACTCACCAGTGAGTTACTAAAGTATTGCATAATTTGTCACTGTTGTAACCCGAGACGTCACGTGCTACCTCTACCGACCCTGTGTATGCAATACCTTGCTGTGGTAGGTCTAATTTAACTTTAGGCTATGTCAGTAGTCCCATTCATTCCAACAATTAAGCACATGCAAAAGTCTTCATGGAATTGATGAGAGGTTCTCAGAAAAGAGGTCTATCATTTTTTTTATAGGTCTGCAGACAACATGCACACCTGTGATGCTGTTTATTTAATACCTGTACAACTAGTGTATTCTCTTCTTCCAAAAAGTAATGCAAGAAATGTTAATATTTGGAAAGATTTTTTGAAGGGTAAACTTATAGCACCAGATAGCGGATGTAACTCAACATAGCTCCACTGTAGCCAGAGTGCTGATGATCTATTCCACAACCTTTGTTTTCCTTTCCTGATCAATTCTTGAATTTCTAAACCAGGCTAACTGATTCAGACCATGCATGTACATTCAAGTGAGAAAAGTTCCGAGACATAAACCAATATGTTAAATACTGTGTTCCCTTAAGTGACATACTCAAGTTGTGGCATTCTTCTGTTGAAGGCCTGATTTTAATCCTAGATTCTGCTCTTTCGTCATGTTGACAGATTGGCGATGAAATTCTAGAGATCAATGGGGAAACCACCAAGAACATGAAGCATGCTCGGGCCATAGAACTGATTAAAAATGGTGGCCGCAGAGTCCGCCTGTTTCTGAAACGTGGAGATGGCTCTGTACCAGAATATGGTGGGTCAAACTATGAAAACATTCCTTTCTTTCCTGGCATCACTCCATGAATGATTTGTCTCAAGATCTGAAGCGGGGATGCTTTTTATTTTCCTTTCTCACCAGTGTCTTGCCAACCTTTGCAACATATGGTTAATTGCCTCGCTTGTGCTGAATTTTCTACACATTTCATCCTTTGCTTGCTTCCACGGACTTGGGCACAGTGTAAGGCAAGATCATCAGAGCAGTATTTTTGGTGATCAAAGACAAAAAACAAAAACCGTATTGTCTTGTCCAACCAAACAAGGAGTTTTACTGAGCTGTGCCAAACTGTGTCTCAGCAGTTGAATTGTTATCTCAAAATAACTCTCTTCCTCTAATCAATACCAAAAAAAATGGGAATCCTGAATTATTTTGAATCAGTAGTTTATTGTTAGGCTTTTCCCTTAGTTTTTCTGTCTCTTTGAGCATGAATGCCAAGAAAGCTAATGGGTTTTGCCTTCAGCTAATATGTACATATTTATAAAGTTATTTCAAAATGTTTATGCAAAAATAGATGAATTTGGCCCTTCTGAGTCTTTTTTTCCCCCTTAAAATATTTGTTGGTATCAGGTCATTAATTTGTAAATTCTGAAAAGGTTAGGAGGTTATGAAAAGGTTTCTAGAGTCTGTCTTGAGGGAAAGGTGCTACTTTTCCTTTTCTGCTGAGATTTGCAGTAGAAGTCCTTTTCTACACCTGTCTGTTGGAGCGGATTAGTGAGAGTAGTGAGTGGCTTAGCATAGTTTTCTATTTAATATTATTATTATGCCTTATTTATTTGAGATAATTATTGAAAACTATGCTCTCAATGTAGGGCTACTCCCAACCAAAGGTCTTTGAAGTTTCTATAGAAACTGATGTTTGAAGGGATGTCCTTTATACTTTTCCCCCCCCTTATCTGGGATTTTGTTGTGTCAGTGAGTTCTAAGTCTTTCACTCCATTACCTAAAAACAAAACAAAAAACAACATTCCGCACAATTCATGAACTAGGTTTTTTTAATTTACTGTACCATGTTCAAGAGTTTCCACTATCTGCTCATAAATCAGAATTGAACCTGCATGTGTGACCAAATCAGAATATAGATTTCAAACAATTAAAATATTCGATAATATAGAAAGGAAATTGTGGGTTTACCCTTTTGTAATATAAACCACCCCCCAGAAGGTTGAACAATAGCACTGAAATTATGTAATGTTTTTTCTACTTCTGTCTTTTCCTACTCCTTTCAATGTACAGTACTGTATCATATGCTAGACAGCATAAATGTCCTGTAAATTGCGTGCTTCACTTCGTAAAGCATATGTCTGCTGCACTGAGGATGAAAATCCAATACCAGTTTTCTTTTGGCTAATAATACATTAAACTGCTAAATATATAGTTTTCAAGCAAGTATTTAACATGCAGGGGCTGCAATTGTTATAAATAAATAAATATATATATATATATTTACACGCATACACATTTGTAACATTTTTGGCTTAATTTCTTCAGTCGCAAGTGGTTACTCGGATAATGTTAAGTTCCAGTATTTTTCAGACTTGATTGGAAAGTGCTCCTATCTGAGGCTGTATATTTTTGTAATGAGTTTTGTACTTATTTTTAATGTTGTGGTCTTTGGTGGACTTTATTTTTTGTTGTTGTTGTTTGATTGTTAATGGTTTTTCTATGACATTCTGTGTCGCTGTTCCAGTTGTCTTTTAAAATGGATGCATCCGTTGTCTGGGTTACTGAATCACCTTTTAGATGTCTAATTATGTCACTATAATAACAACTGTCATCTTTGCAGCCTTACCCTTGGGTGATGCCTAGACAATCATACTGGAAAAATAAACTTTCTTTATCCTAAGATAAAATATGTAGATATTTTTTCTTTCATCTTTGTTACGGGGAATCTAAATTTTCTACTTTTCTCTTTCTCTCTCTCTTACTTTTCTTGGTGCTGGGCTCTTCCTTCCTCAGCGATGATACCTCCTAATATCGCTGCATGTATGAGAAATGACAAGCTCGGGGAGCCTTGCTTCTACCTTACGGGCCATAATCAAACTACGGTTTGTAGCTAAAATCAATATTAGGTGTTTCTGTGCTGTGGCCTACTTCCCTCATATTGCTTTCCGCTTTGCTATATTTTTGTATGTACAGCAAATTCATTCTGAGCCCCTCGCGTTCTTTGAATTGTAAGTACACCTCCCGAACGTGTTTTAAGCCTCGCTCTTACCTTGTGCAATAGCCAGATTGCAAGAAAGCTGTGGGAAAATGGGGTGGTCCCCCCTCACCTTGATTTTAAAAATCAAACCAAATAAACTACCATGAGTTGCCACAGTGTTTTTCATCTGTAAATCATAAAAATAATGGCCCGCGCACACAAAAAATGGATGAGAGGAGTTTAAATAAAAGAGCTTGCACACAAGAAAAATGAAAATTTTGAGTATTTAGCATGTGTGTTGTGGGAGAGTGAAAAAAAGAGTCTGGATTGCAAAGTGGTTTGTTGGCTCTTCAGTCATTGTCATCAAGACCATCTACGGTACTTAAAATAGGTGACTCTCCACATTGGAATTCAGGACGTGTGCTAAGTACTTATTTAACGTCAGTAGAGTTCTCTTACGGAAGATACTTAAAAAAAAAAAAAGTAAGAAATCTGCATCTCACGTTGAGTCAGTGCAACTACTTTAATGTTTTGCCATAAATATAATAAATCATTCATACGCATCAATTACGAATGATGTGAGTAAATTTAGCTTAGCTGCAGCACAGCTTCTTTGCTTTGCAGTTTAGCTCGTGAAGGTAGTTCAGATCTGTTTTATGTCAGTGAAATAATTAACAGGAGAATTAGGTGTTAAATCAAACTCATCCTACGTATTAGAATATCTTTCCATTTCTTTAATAAGAAAAGATCATAACTTCTATTGTCATCTAAATTGTGGTGAAAGCAAAACTATCCCACTACTATTTCATAATGTAATAGGACAAAATGAGATTTAGTAACAGGCTTTGAAGTTCTTGAAAAATGGAAATTACATTATTTATAGTCTAATTAAAATATGGTGCTATAGGTTCAAAACATACAGATCAGTTATATTATTTCATACTTCTAGTCATTTAAAATGAAACATCACACAGACTATAACTCTTTCTGAGAAGGCATTTCTTTAAAAAGAATTTTAAAAAGTGATAATCATTTCCTAAAAGGCCCTTCTTTTCGGGAGCTACATCCTTTTAAAAACCGCAAACCTTTTTTTTCACTAGAAACAACTTATTTTAATCTAATTATAAATTGGACCAGGGGGAAAATATAAAATCTCCCATGATGCACAGAGCATAAAGATGAGAGCCACTTGGACTAAAATAGAGCTAATAAAGGGAAGCACCAATACTAATCTATAACTCACTGTTTGCAGTTACACTTAAATTAACAAAAGCTTCAGTTAGTCTTCTACTGACTGCTTTAACAGTTGTTTGCTTTTGGCACTAATGAAGTCTGAAGAATCATAAATGGTGTCAGAACTTTAATAAGCCATTTGTACCAAACAATTTGCTGTTGTTGTTTTTCTTCCAGACCCCAGCAGTGACAGGAACAGTCCCGCCACAGGTTCACAAAATGTATCGGAAATGAAAAACGTGCCATCTGACCGACGACAACACCCATCATTGGAGTCCAGTTATCCACCAGATCTTCACAAATCATCACAACATGGGGACAAGCGGATATATGTTAAAGATCCAAAAGGCAGCAGAGAGTTTAGCAGACAATCCAATGAACACCACACGTGGAATGGAACTTCTCAAAACAATGATAGCGTAACAGGCAGAAAAAAGGACAGGTCACCAGGAAGGAGACGAGATAGACAACCAGAGAGAATGGTGGTAAATGGACAAAAAATTAAATCTCCTGAAAAAAGGAGGGAAGGGACAAGAAGTGCTGACAATACTTTGGAGAGGAGGGAGAGACATGAGAGGAGGAGAGACCTTTCTCCCGAAAGGCGAAGAGAAAGGTCACCAACTCACAGAAGGGATGGGTCGCCAAGCAGGCGAAGGAGGTCACTCGAAAGACTAATGGATCAAAGAAAATCACCAGAGAAGAGAAGAGAGAGCTCACCTGAACGGAGGGCAAAGTCAACTGACAGAAGAAGGGAGAGGTCACCAGACAAAAGGATCAAGGATGAGCGAGTCGGCCACAGAGAGAGGGAAGAACACAATTTGAAATATGATACCAACAAAAGATACCCCCCTGAACAGAGAAGGAAACCCTACAAAGAGTGCAGCACTGATCTCAGCATCTGAGGTACTCGTCCAATGCACAGAGCCACATTCCAGCCTTTATAGTGCTGAAGGCTCTAAGAAGAGGGTAATAAAGCTGAAATTATCTTAGTTTCTTAAATGATGAAATATCAGACACCTGCTGATCCTATGAATAGCAACAAACGTTTTACGCAGATGAAATCTTATAACAAAAATATATACAAAGTGTTGTGCCTGATGTATAATATTAAAGAAAGTATTTTTAAGTGTATTCTTTTTTTTTAAGTTACTTGCCAAATGGTCCTAAAGGATTATAAAAATTTTGTTTCTACATATTCTGTAGATTTCTTGAGAATAATTCCTCTGTCAGGCAACTTCCCCCTTCCCCCACCATAATTAAATGGGGACAGCCAATAATATAAGATAGTTAGAGGATTTTTTTTTATAAAGAGTGAAGGAGGAATTAAAATGTGCATATCAATAGGATTAGTGAACTCCTGCTGAAGGAAGAAAAAAAGAAAAAAAAAAAAAAGTTCCTAAAATGACACAAACTGTTTGAAGAGACTGTTGTTTCAATGAAGGATATTTATACAAAAACCCACACAGCACAAGATGACTTATGATAAGGAATTTATAGTTTGTTCCATGAACAGTTTATACTTTTAGGCCCCCTCTCAAGGATGCGTGAAGGCAGAAGACTGGTAGCGGCCATATCTGTGTAACACACAAACGTTGACTCTCGATCTCTCTCACTAGTCTCAGCAACACTTACAATATTCCTTTAAGAAAGTGCCCCCGGAGCCCTACTCAACTACTAGAAGTATATGGACAGAAAGCTGAGCGTGTCCAGTATTGTTTGGTCTGCTTTGAAGAAGAGTAGTGCATTGGGATACTGGGATAAAGGGGAATGAGCTCTCCCTTCACAGGGCAGGTATATTCCTTCTGCTCAGTCTAAACCAGTGGGCTTTTCTTATTTTGCCAAATTGGAAATCTTTGTGTCTATACATAGATAAATAGATATAGTCAAGTTTTATTTTACTGGTTCATTCCTTCTGAGACAAAAAAATGAGAGACCTGTCAAGGGCACATAAGGACAGAGGCAATCAGTAGACGGGTCTGGTTGTGAAAGCCTAGATGCTGGTTATGCTGTAATTTAGAATCTACAAACAGCAGCAAAAGGAAAAAAAAATGCAAGTTTCAAAGTTGTATTTTTAAATTTGCAAGTTGTGTGGTAAGTCTGCTGTAGTATTGGTATAAGATTTTAATGGATTACTGCCTAGCTGAGCCAAAATGTTTGCCGTTACTGTTGGACCACTAAAGTAAACTGCTGCTCATTACAGTGCATTGGTGTATACATGTAAACTGTTTCACATTTTCCATACGAACACACAAACATTGCAAGTCTATCACTGTTGTTGCCATGGTACTGTAAAAAAAAAAAAAAAATGAAAAGATGGCCAATCATTGTGTGTACAGAGTTTAAATTGTAATTAATAGAGCCTGTTGAAAAAAAAATAAAACTGTTGCCTTTTTCTTGTATAAAAGAGAATTTATGATGAAATTTAGCTGTGAGGAATGTGATAAGTGTTTATATTTCTGAAAATGGAACAAATTGATTCATGGGAATATATTTTAATGTAAACTGAATCAGGTATGTAAAGCTGTTTTAAAATGGGAGACTATATAAGTAATTCTAAAGCTTTTGTTGGTTTGGATATCATTTCTTTCTTCATGGTGGGCCTGCTCGTGTATTATTAAGCACTTGTATGCAGTCTGTTCTTCAATCATCATTTCTTGCAATGTGCTAGAGACATAATGCTCTTTTCTGTGTTGATGAAAAAGCAGTATGTGGGCCAATCTTTTTTATAAAACACTATGCATATATAAATACTACATTGTTCATAGCTTTATTTGAATTATTGGGTTTATACATAATATTAGTATAAGTAGATGTGGACTTACCCAGTACAAGCTTCTTTCCTTGGAACAGGCACAATGTATATGATGTAGCAACAAAGAAGGAGAAAGTCTGTGAATGCTATTTTTATTATCAAATAAAGTTTTCCATACAAAGTATGCAAATGAGTATAGTGGTAAGATTAAGAGAGCCACACCCTTATAGTTACCCAAAATTGTCTAAATTATTTAACTGTAGATGTCTATTTCCAGGGTTAACCCATTTTGACTTGTTGTCAAAGTCAATCATTTGACATGATTCCAGTTGTACAAGATAGAATCTATTCCCCCAAATAATCAAGAGCTAAGATTTTAGATAAATGTGGCTTTGGTGTTTTCCTGGGGTTTGACGTCATCCATCATCATAATACAGTGTCAACTGTAATACTGTAAAATCACAAAAATACAGACGCTACTCATGCCGGTGTCTGAATACTTTTATAGTAGAGTCCTCTAAAATATTAGTCAATGAGGCCATAATTCTTTCAACTCTTATTTAGTTGTGGAAATATTGTATAAAGACTGTTAAGTAAGGATTGCAAAACCAGATTTATATTAAATACTGTATCATTAAGCCAGCCCCTTACTGTACACTTCACCATACTTCAGCTAACCTGCTGGTAGTGCAAATGTCTTGATTAGAGAATGACAAATGTTTTTTGCATTTTCAGTCGATCTTCAGGCAGGTTTTTCAGCTGCATAATTGATGTCTAAAAGAATGTTAGGGTAGAAACACAATACCCAAATCTGTGCGTGTTTTTTTAAGTTCAGATCTTTTGTGACTTTTTATGACTTTTTACTGTATAATGATATTGTAAATGTATGCATTCCGTAATGATTGCTTCTCAATTTGTATCTTTTATTGTTTCTACTGTATGTCTACAACATTTTTATGTAATAAGATAGCTTAAATAACCTAAACGGAGCAGGTCAATATGATTGGTTCAAAGGCTACTTAGTATAGAAGTGTTAATAAATACCAGAAGAATTAATTACCCATACATTTAGTCCTTGGCATACGCTGAAATTCAGTGGACAAAAGCTGGCTCGGTATGTCTTGCTGTGGGTAGCACAACATGTGCCACTTCCATGAACACGGGGAGGGTCAGATCCTCAGCTGCCATGTAGTGGTGTCGCTTTGTCAATACTAATTGCCACCAGTTGAGTATCTGACCTTAAAATTCCTCCTTTCTCAACAAAAACTAATAGAAATACTTTTTAGACTGTATGGTATCAAACTGGGAGCAAAGACGCTAACCGTTTAGTACAACTCCGTTCTGAATCTGCTAGAAGGATTAATTGGCATGTGTTTCTTGCATGCTGAAAATCTGGAAAGTTTATGAAGCAGTGAGCAAAAAAGCACTGGAAACTGGGATTGCTATTTCTTGTGCAGTTTACCTCATTTTTTGTGGTGGTGGCAGTATTTTGTTGGTCTCCAGTGTCAATAATAGGTCAATCAATAACCCAGCACTGGATTCAATTCTACCGCCCTTGCTCATGTTGATTAGTATCTAATTCCATGAATAGAACTATTGATTTCACTGGGACTGTTCACCAAGTTAGGTAGTACTAAGTTATTTCTGAACTTTATTTTGCCATTGCTAGCAACTTTTAGATTAGCTAAGCTTTTTTGTTGTTGCTTTTGTAAGGCTTGCCTTCTGACTTCATTCTCAGCTTGAACTTCCATTCCTACAAATGTCTGTTTTATTTAATCGTGGTCTTGTGTTTAGTCCATCTGCTGTGCTTTGCTAATTTTGTTACTAAAGTGGTAATTCCCCTCCTAACGGATATGTGTTGCTTTAAAAGCAAGCTTTCGGTACTGGCTCCTGGCTCCTTGGTCTATTGAAGAGCATTTATAAATGGCTTATAATGTGCGCAATTTAATTGGCTTTCATAAATCTCACCAAGGAGAAGACGCTATTTATATCTTGCTGATACCATCTGTAAATGTATGGCTGTTAGGCATTCTGGAGTTCCATATTCTTAAGATTTGTAGGAAATGATCTTAGGAACTAAAAACAAAACAAACCCACCCACAATTTATTTGTTGGACATTTGGTCTGAAAACTCGGACGTTTGATTTTATTCCAATGATTTTTAACATGGTGTTAATTCCTTCGCATTATTTCCTATGTGCCCACTTAAGAGGCTGTAAAGTGCCATATTAAGCTATTTCATACACAAAAAACAGTACTTCTGGGAACACAGTGTAAGGTGAATTTTAATGTGATGGCTGCTCTTTAATAGCACATGAATATTCAGTGGTTTATGCTACAGAAAGCAACACTGGCACCAGAGACACAGGTTTTAACTGTTGTGTTTTTAGTAGCCCAGGAGCTGAAATTATAGGATCAAGTTGCAGTGCAATTTTTTGCCTGTATTTAAACTAATTCTTTTTCTCAGAGTTTTGTTTGCCTGATTTACACAAGATTTGTGTGCTTTCTGCGCTGAAGTTTATATACCAGGAACAATAACCAAAATGCATATTGTACTTTTGCTGCCTGCAGCTCTACAAGTGATTTTAAGGAATGTTATTGCTTATGGAATGTATCTGTTTTGACAGCGTTGGAAAATGAAGTTCTCTTTGGGAAGCATTGGCTACTCCGCGAGAGAGAGACTCCTCTCTGGAGATGGCAGAATGGTTGATCCCTAGTTCCCACGCAGTCATAATCTCCCCAACTGAGATTGCAAATGAAGTTTATATAAAATCATAAAATCATGACTGGTGTGGAGAAAGTAAATAAGGAAGTGTTATTTACTCCTTCTCATAACACAAGAACTAGAGGGCACCAAATTAAAAAGGAGCAGGTTTAAAACAAAAGGAAGTTTTTTGTTTTTTTTCACACAATGTACAGAGGCTGTTGTGAAGGCCAAGATTACAATAGGGTTAAAAAAAGAACTAGATACATTCATGGAGGATAGGTCCATCAGTGGCTATTAGCCAGGATGGACAGGGATGGTGTCCCTAGCCTCTGTTTGCCAGAAGCTTGGAATGGGCAACAGGGGATGGATCACCTGATGATTATCTGTTCTGTTCATTCCCTCTGGGGCACCTGGCATTGGCCAATGTTGGAAGACAAGATACTGAGCTAGATGGACCTTTGATCTGACCCAGTATGGCCGTTCTTATGTTTTAAGTTATATGTTTTGATGGTGGAGTTTGGGTGAGGTTCTGTGCTGCTCGTCTAAGAGGTGCAGCACAGAACCGGCAGCTCAGGAGCGAGTTTATGTCCTCCCAGTCCTGGACTGTTCTGCAGTCCCTAGTATATTTTAAACAGACCTGGCTTCCAGCACACACACCCCTCCCCCAATGCCAGGGCTTTTGAGAGGTCCTTGGAGGATAGCCTTAGAGCGTCTTCCTCAGTTCCTGCCCCAGAAGAATCCTACACCAGCCAGAGACAGGGCTTTTGAAACCCTTTATGCTGCTCCAGCCCATTTTATCCAGAGTAAAGGGGCCGGAACTGGGCTGAGTATTTCACCCTTTGAGTTGTGGATACCTGTTCATGAGAAATTAGAGACTCTTCCCTGTAGCAGTGACACGAGGGGAGAAGAATTGAAGAAAAAAATACTCTCTTTACAAATAAATAGAATCTAATCTGAGTCCATAAAACACTCAAATGCCTTAATCATCACTGCACAATGTCAGTAAAAGGCAGAATTAAGGTGGTTGGAGTGCCTTAACTGTGCGATTCTTAACTTGTTTGGATTTCTTTTAAGATGACCGTAACTCGGAATTTCCTGGGTTTATACTTGGTTGTTTTGGGGGGGGGAGTGGTTGGATAATTACAACAGCCCTGCAATTTTTTTGACCATTAAATCACTAATATATCTGTTCTCCACCTTCACTATATCTTAATTTATTTTTGTCTGCGAATAGGAACATAAGAATTGCCAGGCTGGTTCATACTGTGGCCCACTCTTCCAGACCCCTGTCTCTGTCAGAGGCCAGCACCAGACGTGGCTGCCACAGCATGAATACCAGCTCAGGCGAGCTACCCAAGTGCAAACCTGCCCACGCCCCTGGATCCATCCTCGTGTTGCTAGCCCAAACCATCACCCAAGCGGAGCGGCCTCACTGCTATTTTTAACACGCTAGCGCGAACAGAGCTAGTGCATATCTACCAGTGCAGATACAGTGGGCAGATGTGGGGTAATCTGCTTCTCGTTAAGGTTTCATTCTAATAATGATTACCTTGAACCCTG